GCATAAAATAAACTAATGTCAGTGTTATGCCTTAGATGTGCAGCGACAGCAAGAAAATGAGGCAAGGCGGCAAACCTATGATGCAAAAATATTTTTGTTTATGATAATCTCTTATTTTATTTAATTTTATATTTTTATTTGTTAAATGATGGGCTAGAGAGAGAAAAAGAGGATGTAGCCACTCTTTCTAGAGAGCAAAAGAGATGATTTGATTAGGTTTTGGTAGGAGTGGTGTAGAAATGTTATAGTGATGAAGAAGATGATACTAGAGAGAAAAAGATACAAAGAATTTTTTTCTCTAAGTAAATAGAAAAGAGGGAACAAGGGTGAGAGGAGGTGTTTGAGATGGAGAGATGACTGTTTAAAGAGAAAGTTCATGAATTTCTCTATTTCTAGTGAGAAAATTCTCTCTCTAGGCCTAGAGAGAGAAAATGGAGAATGATGGAACTTTTTGGTATATAGGGTGTAAAAGTAGGGGGAAGTGGTATAATAACGGTTTGAGGTAGAAGAAGAAGGTGATAAGGATGAAGAAGAAGAAGAAGAAGATGGGGAAGGAGAAGAAGAAAAGAAGAGAAAGAATGAAGAGGAAAGAAGAAATAGATGAAGGAATAAAAAGAAAAAAAGAAAGAAGAAGAAGAAGGAGAGAAAGAAAGAAGAAGAAGATGATGGGAGGAGGACGTTACTTAGAGGAGGGTGGTGACTGAGAGAATGGCTGTCAGCTTCGGCAGGTCGCGTGAGGGAGGGGGTCGTAAGGGAAAGAGGCTTGTGCATGAGTTTGGTGTGCGTGAGGGGGCCGATTGGGTGAGAAAGAGAGTTTAAGTGGGATTTAAGGGTATTTAGGTATTTAGAAATTTTTTAAATTCTTCTCTTTTTTTTAAATTACTATTTGTGATTAATTTTAAATATGAAATTTATATATATATATATATATATTTTAAATTAATCATGCCTCAACTTGGTCACCATGTCATCGTCATTCACGCACATCAATGCAACCTTGATCGGCGCACACAAAATTTTGATTTCTGTCAATCCACAACATGAGTGTCAATCATGGATATTTCAGTTATCTTGAACACCCTGCCACTGCCTATTTCAAGAACGGAGCTCTTTTCGGGGATTTAAGTTTTTGGTCAACAGACGTCGGGTGAGTTTAGCGAGACACTGCTTTCTTTTGCTTTCGAAACTCACCATGCACGGTCGACTCGACCTCGACACTAGTATTGAGGTTAACAATCCTCCAAAACGATTGAGGGAAATTCAAGAGTTGATGGCGCCACAAAACCACCATATGGTTGAGTGAGCTCTTTGAGCAAATACTTGATGATTGCAAAGAACTTCTAGTTGAGGAGTAGCAGATAATGTGAAAGACCCTTCACTTAAGAGAGAAATTGTTAAAGCAAATGAAAGTATTAAGTTAGTCCTACATTGAACATACCTGTTAACGGCGAATGGCGCACTATGGCGCAAAGGTCCCTTTAGAGCCATGGCGCATAGCGCATGATGCGGAGCGCGCCATTTTGAACATGACACACACTATATAAGAATTATAAAATAATAAGCAAGAATATAAAATATCATTAAAAATGAAAGACAAGTTATCCAAGAGACACAAATTCACATTTAAAGTTCTAACCCCTTCCTCCTCTCATATAGAGTCCAATGTATTGGGAGACGGACCCACGATTAAAAAGGCGTTTGAGGCGGACGCCTCGAGGCGCGCCTCAAATCGAGGCGGAGGTCGGGCGAATTGAGGCTTAAGCCTCGAACGTCCGGGCGAGGCTTACGCCTTTTTCCACAGAGGCGTACGCCTCAATACCTGAGGCGCCGAGGCGCATCGAGGCAGCGCCTCGAAAGGGAGAAAGTTACCTTCAAAGCCAACGAGCTCCCGTTGTTTCTTCTTATCAAAATGTCGTAACTTATGATCCGACAGGAAAGCCAGTACCGCTCAATTCCGACCCAGTACCACTCAGTACCGAGCGGTATATGCTCGGTGCCGAGGCTTACGCCTCGCCTCGCTTAGCCAAAACGCCTCGATTCCCGATTTCGCCTTTTAAAACGTTGCTCCCAATCAAAACATGCACTCATGAAGAAAACTTATACAAAGCATGCACTCATGAAGAAGCCGACTAACACTAACAACTATTACTAAAGATGATGAATACAACAATATGTCGGACTGCCGGGGGTCCAAGGGGGTGCAGCGCTCTTGTGGGGGTTTCCGGGGGCAGCGCCCCCAGAACAAATTTTATTTGTAAGAGTAATTTTGAAGTTCTGCTTATTTTTAAAGTTCATAAGTTGTTTGTAAGGAAAGAAACCTAGCGGTACCGAGCAGTACCGAGCATGTACCTAGCGGTACCGAGCATGTACCAAGCGGTACCGAGCATTTTTTTAATTTTAAGAGGTGGACGCCTCTAAACCATGGTTGCTAGTGAAACACATCAAGTAGCAATCAATAAGAATCATACATGTTAAGTTGTAAATTCTTGTAAAAAATATTCATAGGTATAATGAAATTTAAAACTAATTTGCCGCACTATTTTACGTCGTGCACCATGCGCCATCGCTCACATGTGGCGCAAATAGCCCACGCTATTTTAAACACATGCGCCTCGCCATGAACATGTCGCTGTAGGTGCGTCGCGCCGTGCGCCATGGCGCGTGCTATTTTGCACCATTGACAACTATTATTGAATAGTAGACATATGTGTTCAAATAGAAATTGCTTCACCCTCACTCATAAGCTTACACTTTTGGGTTGAAAATGAACTTGCTCACTAGGATATAAAGGCGAACTTTACACCCCTTTTGGTTCAATACTCCTAACAAAAGCATAATTTGATTTGCCTGCTATAGAGATCCACCATTTGTTGACAAGCTTTCAAGCGCGTTACAAGCTATGATACACCGACACGACACTTAGAGAGGGTATGCAGTGTCGGACAAAAACACGCGTCCGACACGGCATGGACACGTGTCCGACACGACATTGGAGTGTCGCAATTAAAAAAATTAAAATTAAAATCGAACACGCTTGTCCGGTTATTAAATAAGGTATCGCTAGGTACATGCTCGGTATTGCTCAATACATGCTCGGTATTGCTCAGTACATGCTTGGTACCGCTCAGTACATGCTCGGTACCGTTCAGTACATGCTCGGTACCGCTCAGTACATGCTCGGTACCGCTTGGTACATGCTCGGTACTGCTAGGTACATGCTCGGTACCGCTTAGTACCGCTAGGTACATGCTCGGTATTGCTAGGTATATGCTCGGTACTGCTAGGTACATGCTCGGTACCACTCGGTATCTTCCCATACAAACAACTTACGAATTTTAAAAACAAGCAGAACTTCAAAATTACTCTTCAAAATATGCTCGGTACTGCCCCTTGACCCCACGACCTGACCGGGCAGGTCGAACCCCGCCAGGGGGTAGCGCCCCCTTGGACCCCCGCCAGACTGGTATATTGTTGTATTCATGTTGTCTTATTATTGGATATTTTGATTTCACTTCATATCAATTTAATTTGATGTATTCATATGTATGATTGGTTTGTTAGCAAAATGAGCTCTACTACTGGCGGGGGTGGATTAGGTGAAGGTTCAAAAGAGCCATCTGTCCACGCCGTGTCTGTGTCCTATATTTTTAAAAATTATTATATATTATATTAAAAAAATATTATGTCGTGTCCACGCCGCACCCGTGTCCTATATTTTTAAAAATTGTCGTGTCACGTGTCCGTGTCGTGTCATGTCCGTGTCGTCGTGTCCGTGTCGGTGCATCATAGGTTACAAGTTTCCTGCAAGTTTAGTTTCAATCCAGTGTTTGCATTCAATTCTAGTCGTTGTAGTTCATTTGATATGATGAGTATTTTTTTTAGGCATTTGATATTTCATATGGCTTCTATGTTGCAAGCATCACTTATAAGTTTTCCCTGTTGTGCTAAGGAAAACGTGAATAGATTCCTCCCCTCGCACAAAACGTGTCAAAATTGAGATTTTGAAAATTCTAAGTGTTAAACATTTTATTCCTGCGCTCATGAAGCGATGACGAGATGATGAGTGTGCGGCAAGATGATGAGGTCTTGATTGCACAATTTCTTTTCCATTTTTTGCTCTTTTCATTTTTTTCTTTTCAATTTTTCATTCTAGAGAAAGAAAGCGGAGAGAGAGAGAGTAAGAGAGAAATAGATAGAAATGGAAAGAGAGAGTTCGAGAGAGAAAGAAAGGGAGAGAGATAGAAGAGGGAACGAGAGGATAGAAAGAGAAGAAGAGGGGATGAAAGGGATGGAGGAAAAGAGGGAGAGTGAGAGAGAAGAATAGGAAATAAGAGGAAGAAGGATAGAGTGAGAGGGGAAGAGGTCAGTGGTGATTGGGTTGGTGCAAGTGGCGGTGGTGACTAGATCAGCAATGGAGCGATGCTCAAATTGGACGATACCAGAGCGAGAGAAATGGTGGAGAGAGTGATAGAGTGAGTGGGACAAATAGATCGAGAGAGAGAGTGAAGGAGGGTTCAAGTGCAAGAGACGAGATATTGAAAGAAATGGGGTTCATGTGCCGGTAAGGGGACGTGTGCTTAGCTTGGAGAGGAGAGGAGAAGTGCAGGTAGGAGGTAGACGTACGCTAAACAATGGGCGGGGATTTATTTTATAGGTCAACACCATCAATCATGATCCACTAGAAATCTAAGCTTAATTCTTATCACCTTTATTATTTCAAGAATTAAGGCTAGACAAATAGATCTTTGAAACTTTCAAACCATTATCCAAGGTTGAAAAACGGTTCTTACTTGCCATCCTAGAAATCTGAAGAATTATAGATGAACGTCCACTTAATGAGGAAACATCTATCCAATAATCTGGTCTGAAGTTTTTGTATAATCTAGTCTGCTTTGATACTAGTGCTAGCCTATACCGTGGTTTGGATCAGGGCAGGTATGAACATAATAAATTGTTGCCTCAAAGTTAATCTGCAGTTGAAGCTGAAGGAAAAGACATACTGGTGCAATGTACTCTTCAGTTCCAACAAAGGAGTTTGACGCTCTCATTGGTTCAGCAACAAAAACTGGAGGCGTTCTTCCTTTCTTCTGCTTCTTTTTAGCCCCCGTATTTGGAAGTAATAACTGGAAGGATTTCGAAGTCTAATTAGTTTTGAAAAATAAGAGAGCATAGATGCAAATGCATTGACTAAAATTTAAATAATTTCTGTTGGAAACAAAATTTATTTGAAGCTACATCTTGCAGCCTATCACAGATTGATTCCCCTCTCTTCATTCCAGTGAGAGAAAAATCATGAAAAGCATATCATGTGTAAACATTAGGTTTTTAACAAGTATGCTATGAGAGTCGGACCAAAATACAATTTTAGTGAACTTACTAACTCCTTTTCATTTTCATCAATAAGCAGAAGATAAAATAATGAAAAATATAACATGTATAAAAAACAAACAATATCTCTTATGAACTGCTTTTCATTTTCATCAATTAACCATTTAGTTATCCAATTATTAGACATGATAGTAACATTTACAAACTGCATTCTCCTGCCAAAGTTGATAAAGACGGCACATAACTTAGGCTTGCTGACTACAATATTCTCAAGCTTTTCCAGCGAATTGCACAGTTAGAAATAAAGATCTGAACCTTTCCTTGAGGTTTTGTATTGGTTAGATTGTTCTCATCATATCTTTTTCTGAAACTAGAAATACATTAAAAGAAGAAACTTTATGAGTACTGATTGCTGGGATTTAATCTATGAGTGCTTCACTCATTAAATATAGAAAGATGTCTATATCTCCAAGCCAATACTTTAGCGATTAAGTTCTATCCATATCCTACCTTCATATAATCAACTTTACGGTGACTTTCCCCAAGGAACGTATTTCATACATATTTGAACATTGTAAGTTTGCAACTTTCCAAGGAATAGGCCAATATTACAATAAAGTACACAATGTGATTACACAACAGAACCTCCTTATTTTCAACTTTTTTTATTGTTCGCAACATTGAACGCTCACTCGCTCAGTAAAGACAAACGTCGCTCCTCATTTTGAAGCTCTTTCCACCAACGACTGCAGCCTCAAAATTTTGATTTCACATACCAATGATCGGTATACATCTCAAAAAATATTCAATGAATGGAATTTAACAGGAAGACAAAATGTCAATTATTAGGTCTAATCGGCTGCTAGAGTTTACTATAATTTTAAACTAATAAATATTCTTTCTTAATCCCATCCCATTATTCTATCTTGCCACCACCATTATATATGCCTAAAGAATCTGAGTCTATTTTTCATCACCCTATTATTAATAGGTGGTGATCCCACCTTCTCTTTAATATAGTATTTTATTACTCTATCATTCCAAGGTTTCTAGAGATCCAACTTAAGATTCACATTTATGCTACACAGCTTTACTTTCAGAGACTTTTTTTTGCCTAACATCCAAATCTATAAACCAAAATCAATTTAATTAAAAATACACAAATCAACCTTTCATTCTCCAAATGAATCTATATTACTGCAAAACATTATTGATCAGCCCCTACATTTTAACCACCAATTTTACTTGATCAACACTACAGCTTCTAGAGATCCAACTTAAGATTCACATTTATACTATACTAAGCTTTACTTTCAGTGACTTTTTTTTGACTAACATCCAAATCTATAAAGCAAAATCAGTTTAATTAAAAATACACAAATCAACCTTTCATTCTCCAAACGATTCTATTACTGCAAAACATTCTTGATCAATCTCTACATTTTAACCACCAATTTTACTTGATCAACCTCTACATTTTCTAGAGATCCAACTTAAGATTCACATTTATGCTACACTAAGCTTTAATTTCAATGAATTTTTCTTGTCTAACATCCAAATCTATAAAACAAAATCAATTTAATTAAAAATACGCAAATCAACCTTTCATTCTCCAAACGATTCTATTACTGCAAAACATTCTTGATCAACCTTTACATTTTATTACTTTTACTTGTACAAATTGGAATTATATATAACCCCTCCCCCTGTGAAGAAAGATGATCATGGTCCTAGGACTCAAATTTGGTTAATCCTCTAGCATGGTTGATTCCCTTTGAATTCTTAATTTTTTTACATTATAGCTATGCCAAGACGTTATTATGTGTTTTACTTGGTGTTGGACTCTACTAGTTAATTAATGTTGAGAGACATCATAGTACCATAGATCTTTCAGATATGGGAGAACTAGGGCATAATCTTTTGTCGAGTCACATTTTATAAACGTTTAAAAAGACAAAATCGGGAATCGAGTCGTTTTGCCTTAGTGAGGCAAGGCTTAAGCCTCAAAATAAAAAAATAAAAAATATATGAACTAATAAATAATCCATAAAAATAACAAAAATAAATTAAAACATCACCGTCTGTGGGCTCCGAAAATTCGGCCTCGGCCTCCACTCTCATTTTTCTTATTCGGCGAGGGAGTTTTAACGAACTAGGTTCCGAGGTAAATTTTGGAAGGCAGATGAGTTTGTAGATAAGACACTACCCAGAGATTTCGCCCTCATTTTGCGAGGACTTTATGATCTGAGTTCTGGTTTCCTATAGGCGCAAGCCCCTATAGTTAATTACCCCTCCCGATCAGTCATATGAACTTGTTTATTTCTTTGAATCTGTGTTATTGAACAATCTGTGATGTTTTTAGTTGGTTGATGCTATTGAACATTTTGTTTTGATGGATATTTATGTTTTTGAGTATATGTTGAAGTTCTTGACATCTGTGATGTGTATATCTGTGTTGTGGAACTGTTATTGTATGTATTTATATATGTTTACAGGTGTGAAAATCCGATTGTTGGCTGGGAAGGCAAATTTTTTTTGTTATTGATACAGGTTTCTGGCGGATTTGGCGTCGGAAATGCGACGGAACCGACGATACAACGAATCGGTGCAATCATGCCGGCGTTTTTTTTCCGCCAGAAAAGGGCGGCGGTAAATGCGTTGGAAGCAAGTCGTAGCTTTATTTACGGCTCACCTTACGGCGTCTTATCCGCCGGCGTTTTCCGGCGTATCAATAGTGCCGGAAACAAACCGTAGCTTTAGTTACGACGAATCTACGACGTTTTATCCGCCGGTATTTGCCGTCGGATATATACGTCGTAAAATTTCGACGTATATATCGCCGGAATAATCGTTTAGGAAACGACGTTTTGGCCAACATATTTTGCGCCGGTAATACGTCGGAGAGTGCACCGGAAAGGTTTCCATCGTCTTATAAACGTCAGAAGATATTTTCCGACGCGCGCCAAACCGGCGTACCAAAATCCGACGGAAATGCGCCGGAAACCAAGGCCTTCCGTCGGATTTTACGCGTTACCGGCAGATATTTTCTGTCGGTAATACTGTGTTTTCCTGTAGTGTTCTCGTTCCTTTGTAATGCTATTGGTGGGCAACAAGATTTGAGATTACATTTCTTGTCGTCCATCCACTTCCATTTATATTTTCATTAATATTCAATTCCACCCTAACATAAGCAAGTATCTACAATTGGCAAATCTTTTCTCATTTTCTCTAAATATGAAATCTTTGAGCTTGCTAAACCACTTTCGTTTTCTATTGTAGGTAAATTTTCTTTAAGCAACCGCAAATTGGATGTTATTCACAAATTCATGTAAGATTTACACAAGTGGTGAATATATAGTTGGTTTAATTGATCCTCATTGTACCATTATAAAACTATCATTAGATGCATATTATACCATACCCTTTTCTTTATGTCTGCTGTATATGCTAAAGTGGTTTCCCTATTTTTGCTAATCTAAGGAATCACCTATCACCACTATATGGGTGGCTTTTCCTCGACTTCATTTACATTATTGAAACCAATCCACGTTATACTTCTTGAGATCTATAATTGCTAAATCTTTGTAAGTGGTTATTGCTATTACTCATCTTTCTAGGCCTTATTTGACTATAGTTATGGTAGAAATGGATGTTACTTCTCCATTTAGAAAAGTAGATGTGAATAAACTCCATGTTTAGTGGATATTGGTAGAAGCACGAATTTGAAGTCATTACCCCTATGGCTTATTTTGCAAAATCATTAGGCTTAATTACTCTTAGATATTTCAAAGCTCATCTTGTAAAAGAAAATATAACATTCTTGCACAAGAGGCACATTCAGAGGTTCAGATACTTGCTCCTCCAATAATGTTTGTTGCTCCATAATCAATTTAAATTTGCAATCAAAATATTGAACCAATGACATTCATTCAATTTTGGGCCAATTGTGTCTACCCTTGCTAGCCCTACAAAAATAGTCTCTATACCATCTGCATACAATATCAACAAAATTGATCCTTCTCTTCTTGAAATTCCTCATCCCCATCCCATTATTGAAGACACCTATGATCATGACACTTCATCCCTATGAATTTGATGGAAGTACAGTGATAATGCTCTTGTGGATAGGAAGTATCAAAAGAAAGCCAGACAGGGACACAAGGCTTGAGCAAGCCCTCGTGGAGCACAGGCAAGGCTAATTGCACAAGTGAGGGTGGACATGTGGGCAATTTGAGGCGTATGCGAGTGGAACGAGCATGTAAGGTGCATGCATGAGTGGACCTAATGTATGAGCCGCATGTGAGCAAGTGGTTGAGGGCTTTGTGTATGCTAGGCCGGACGATCGACCAAGTAAGCTTTGAGGATGTCATTTGGTGACGATTTCAGTGCTTAAAAGTTTTGATTTCTCTTCCTTTCTATTCCCTAAGCCAAGAGTATAATACCAAAAAAAATTTAAAATGTAAGCATAATTTTTTGCTCAAAATTTTACCCAATTTATCTTTCCCCCATAATGGGGTGTACCTTTAAGAAGAAGTAGATAAGGAAAAAAAGAAAAAAAGAAGAGGAAGAAGAAAAAGTATGAGAAAAAGAAGTGGAGGAAGAAGAAAAAGAATAAGAATAAGATTTGATTTTAATTAAAAGTCTGTATTATAATTTATAAAGCTAATTTTAGAAATATTAAATTTTAATCATATACCAAGTAATAAATTTTGTTTAAATGTAACTTAATAATTTTGAATGAAATAATAAACTTGTAATGATATAATAAGTAATAAATTTAAAGTGAGTATGATTA